TTACCTTTATATAAGCCCCAACAGTGGAGTGAACCCATGACCTAGGAATGTGCCCTGACCAGGAATCAAGCTGGAATCTTTTGGTGTATGGTATGACACTCCAACTAACTGAGCCACCTGACCAGGGCTCTCTAATATTGGTTTTAATTTTCTAGGTTGTCATTAAGAGTAAGATAGATATTTAAAAAAGAAAATCAGAAACAATTGTCCAGGGGTGCTTAATGACTTCAGTTATTTTTTATTGATTTAAATTGATTATTTCAGATATTCAAAAATGACCCATGTGTGTAGACTCAAATATTTTGTGTTTCCTTCATCAGTACCCTGCTTCCAGTTGAAACCAAATAGTTTTAGAAGAGGTGGACTTAAATGACCTACATTTGGTCCTTTCAGTGGGGGCAGAGCACTAAGAGAGATGGTATGAAAAGACAATTAACTCCTTGCTTCCTGGAACCTAATGGTTTAGTGGAAGAGAAGCATCTAAATAAAGGAAATGATTAAACAAAATGAAAATCATGGATAGACAAAAGTCCCTGCAGTTCAGGTGGAAAAGATGAAATGAATTATATTGCTTGCTAAAGATCAGATGCAGGGCAGTGCCAATCAGCACACCTAGAAAGCTGCGTCATTTGGTCACTGAGCATCCTCTAGAGCACATGTGTCAAACACAAGGCCCGCGGGCCAAATCCGTCCCGCCCGGCCTTGCAATGTAGCCCGCACCGCGCTGTCATCACTGCACTCCGCTGCGTTTCCATCACAATGACAGTTTATGACTGTTCAGTAAACCATTCGGCCCGCGATTTAGGCTGGATTTTAGATTTTGGCCCCTTCTCTGATTGAGTTCGACACCCCTACTCTAGAGCAAAGGTTCTCAACCTTTCTGAATAACCATAAAATTATTTCTGTTGCTACTTCATAACTGTAATTTTGCTACTGTTATGAATCATAATGTAAATATCTGTGTTCTCCGATGGTCTTAGGTGGCCCTGCTAGTGACACACAGGTTGAGAACCACTGCTGTACAGCCTAAGACCATCGGAAAACACAGATATTTACATTATGATTCATTAACAGTAGCAAAATTACAGTTATTAAGAAGCAACAGAAATAATTTTATGGTTGGGGGTCAATACAACATGAGGACCTGTATTAAAGCATCGTGGCATTAGGAAGGTTGGGAACCACTACTCTAAAGGGAAGGCTCCAGCATGGCTTATGGGAGCTGCTCTTAGCATCCTCCTTGAAATCTTCAGACGGAGGCTCATACATGCAAGAGGCATGAAAAAAACCTGGATTCAAACCCTGGCTCTATCACTGACAGTGTGACTATGGACAACTTTTTGTTCTTAACCTTTCAAAAGCTCAATTCCCTCAACTCTAAAAATAAGGGCAATAATGGCATGGAATCCATAGTGTACTTGGGGATTTCGTGCAATCACACATGTGCAGAACTTTTCATGTTACCTGGGTACTTAGGCGTATAGATGGTCGGAATCAAAAACAGCAGGCTGATTCTTCGTTCTTCCACACCTGAACCCTCATGGATTAGACACTGAACAAAGGTGTGCCTTCTCCAATATATCATTGCTTTACACATTCCCTCCCCAACACTCAGAGCCCAGAACTCTTATCACAGCCCAAGGAGCTTCCGTAACTGGACGATGCTTTCAGAGCAGGGCTTCAGGTGGAAGGGTGCTCCTACTGCGTTGTGCAGGGCCCCACATTGGATTAACATGTCCAGGGGAAGCCCTTGAAGTCAGTGAAATCTTTCAGCCCTTCCAACATATTGTCAGTGCACAGCCTCAATGATGAGATAGAATCGTTGATTGCTTGCCTCTTGCATGCCCCAAACTAGGGATCAAACCCACAACCCCAGCATGTACCCTAACTAGGAATCGAATCTCCTGGTTCATAGGTCGATGCCCAACCACTGAGCTATGCTGGGTGGGCACAGCCCCACATCTTAACTGACATTGAAGAGCCAAGCAAAGGCAAGAAGACCCAAATTCAAAAGGACAGCAAAAGAGGAATTATAATATATGTACACCTGGGTGAACTAGGCAAGTTGCCTGAAAGTAATGGGCCTTTGAATTATAATCTGAACACCCTCGCTGCCCTATACTGGTCCGCCATGGAGACTGAAGCAGGGAAGCAAAGGGCAGCCCTTCTCTCTGGATTTGTACCTCTTGGCCTCCTTGCCTCCCAGCAGGCTCACACCATAGCCCCCTTCCCGAGGAAGTACCTACCACTGGAGGTGTTAATTACTGCTCAGCCCCTGGTCTGGCTCTCTGCTCTGCCGCACTGCTAATCAGTCTTCCTTGACTGGAAACTCAATATCTCCTGCAGAGAGTCTGCAATCTTGCTTTGAAGTTATTTGCATCCAGTCAGAAGAACGCTTTGGTTCTAGTTCTAAATTGAGCACCTTGGTGGTTTCCATCCCCTCATGAGCAGGGCAGCTGGACTCTACAGCACTCACACTGGGCTTCAGCTCTTACTCACATTAGGGAGTTGATGATTAACACTGACAGCACGGTAAACCTCTTCCTGGTGGACAAGAAATGGAAGTAACCAGTGCAGCCAGTAAACTTATAGAATGAGCAGAATTATGTTTTAAAGCAAGTAAGACATACATTCCTTATTCTGCTTTGAAGAGGGCACTTTTGGGTTCAGCTACATCTCTATAGGGAAAGCACTGTAATTTGTCTTGGAAACATTCTAGAGATAAGGAGGAAGCATTCAGCACCCCTGTCCTAGCACAGCAGCCTACAGAAAAGCTAGATACAGCGGGAAGTGGAGGTGTCCTTCCTTCAGCTATCGGGTTCCATCATTCTCCCATGCTGCTTGCTGTGACAGTAGAGAGCAATAGGGAAAAGGGTTTCCATTCCACTTTTCCCACTTACTATTCACTTTGTGTAAGTAACACCCACCTCTAAAGGGTGGGGAGAAAGGAAACGGAGTCATTTGTGTAAGGTGCCTAGCAGAGGGCTGAACTACAGGGAGACTCAGTATTGAACAGAGAGACTCAGAGGACTGAACTACAGAGACTCAGTACCTATCCCTTCCTTCCTTCCCGCACATCACTCTTATTGCTAATTGCACCTCTTTCCTCTGCAATGCTAGATTTAAAAAAATAAATAAAATGCTTCCATTATCCCAAGCAGCAGAGTTGGCCCTCTGCATCAGCCCTGTCCACAGGCGCAGAAAAGCCCAGGCCAGCTTCAGCATTTATATCAGGATGACACTTGTAATGGATGATTGCTGCACTTCTTAATCCATTTATGTAATCCTTCCTGCTTTGCTGGCAGTTATTTACAGGGCCTTAGCAGCAATAAAATGGTTCCTTTCCCAAGACAGAGTTCATTCAATTTAAACCTGGATTGATTGTAGCTAAACTTATGATGACTTTACAAAGGAACTAAATAAAAACAGCAATAAATTATGCATAGTAATTATTTAGCATGTATTCGTCCCCCACGTGTCCTGGGCTCAGCATAATAAAGTTGGGGGAAAACCCGTGTCCTTGAGAATCAAGCATAGTTACACATATAAAAGGCACTCAGGGCAGGGCACCAATTCAATTCCCATTGAATTCTTTATTCCGGGGATCATGTGGCCATCTGGCCAGTCTTTCAGCTGACTTTCTGGGGTTAAGTGCTTTCACCCATTAGTGCCTTCTTTTGGTTTCCTTCAGATGCAGTCTACTGACAGCATCCTTAGTCTTTAACCTCTCCCCCGAAAAATACTCTTTACCGCTCCTCAAGCAATTTTGGTTTAAGACTAAGACTCCCTGAGGCCAGAGTGCAGGTCAGCCTGATGATACCTAATTGACATTGGAGGGATCCCTCCTGTGGTGGCCTCTGTGGTGACAAGGGACTTGCACTAGAAAATGATCTGGAACTCAGGCAGACAAGGGACTTTCTCCTGAGGGCATGGTCCTGTATGTGCTCAACAGTCAAGGAGTTGCATGTCAAGTGGATAGATGACTGGATGGATTCTGAGACCACTAGTTAAAATGTAATCTATATAGCATAATAAGACAAAGGTAATTCCTATACATCTTTATGACTAAAATGTGAAAATGTAAGATGATGTTCTTCATTCATAGAAAACCCCGTAACCATATCCCTGACAGCCAAAAGAAAGAAATAGAGAAGGAAGGCATGATTTTTTTTTCCTTTTCATTTTTGACCATTTGACTCTAAAAAGAAAATATGCAGGAAAAGTAAAAATTAATCAAAATGCACAATAATATATAGTTTTGAGTACCGTGCACACTAGAGTCAATGTTTCAAATATTGCTGTGAAATAGGTAGTTATACTATTTATATTTTATAGATGGGGAAGCAGAGGTTCAGAGCAGTTAAGGGACTTTCAGACTAGAAGGAGGCATAGACATGATGAGAAGGGAGCTGTAGCTTTCCTGCAGAGCCTAAGACATAACCACTAAGCATACTGCCATCCAGGATCCAATGCACAAATGTGGATCAGATTCACAAGCCCCCAAATGCCATTTTCTTTTACCTTTGAGTTGAAATAAACTAAAACCTTTCCTTTCTCACATTTACTTGTAAAATTTCATTACTGGTTAAATATATTAGAGTGATTGTCTCTGATATAATTCAAATTATTTTTAAGTAATAGCTTACAGTCAGGATTTATTTAGAATAAAGAATAATTTTTTAAGATAAAGGTAATTATTTAAAATTGCTGGCCATTTGCTTATTTTAACATTAGAAAAAAAATTTTTTTTCATTACAAAATGTACAAGAAAATTTGAACCGTTATATAGATTTAGCCAAATTTTTTAGGGTTTTTTGTTTTTCTTTGTTGTTGTTGATGATAACTATTTTTTTGAAGGGCACGGAGGATCAATAGAAAAATGAGACATTTCACCTGTGATATTTGGAGTATAATTGAGATCCCAAAGACTTCCCGGAAACACATGCTGCGTGTGTTGCTCACCGCCGTGCACTTGCTCACACAGCGTGTGTTTCTTACAGTGGACCTGGACAGGCTCAACGAGGATGTCAAGCGGTACAGCTGCACTCCCAGGAACTACTCAGTGAACCTACGAGAGGAGCTGAGGCTGACCAACGTGGTCTTCTTCCCGCGCTGCCTCCTGGTGCAGCGCTGCGGGGGGAACTGCGGCTGCGGCACTGCTAATTGGAAGTCCTGCAAGTGTGCGTCAGGGAAAACGGTGAAAAAGTACCACGAGGTACGTCATGTTCCCACGTCTCTTTTGAAGCGCCGCATTTAGCAGTTTGGCTGCAAAAGGCATGTAATTCACTGGGAGCTAGAAGATAGGACCATTGCATACAGTTGGTCAGTTCCTCTATGCAAAAGGGCACCGGGCCAGGGGGATGACTGGGACCTAAACTTGTGCTAAATTTGTCAAGCTAAGTGCCCTGGGGAGTATCTAAGTTCATTCGGAAAACGGGACTTCTTTTCTGATCCTCATAGTATACCACCTGGGTTGACAGAGTAAGTGGATAAGCAAATGTATGGTGAAGTAATTTTAGAACTTATTTGGCTTCCTTTATAGAAATATGATGTTATTTGTTTAAAGGATCTGATTCAAAATGCAGGTCCTTTTAAGAAAAAGCTAAGAGCCAAACTTTAATTCAAACAAGTAATTAAAAATTAAGCAAAGATAGTAAATGATTTGTCAGAAAATACACATCTCCAAAGACAGGACCATTGGATAATCCTGTAATTATAAAATAATTTCTCTTTTAGAAATGCTAATTTTTTTCCTAAATACTACTGAGTGCTACCTAGGGAATCTGCTCTGAAATTATGCAACAATAAATAAAATAAATAAGAAAAACAAAAATTTAAGGAGAGAACTGTGACCTTTAATCATAATTATATCAACAATCTCTCAATTATATCTCAATTATATCTAAATACTTAATATTTAGAATGTGCCAAATATTATTATAAAGAATCATTAACTCACTTAGTATTTTCTCAGCACCACTGCAGAGGGGATTGGGGTTGGGAATAGACTGAGGCCTAAGAGGATCCGTTAGTCGGTCAATGCGACATGGTTGGTGAGTCACAGAGCCAGGACCTGCACTCTGATCGCTGCTCCTGGGTCTATGTTCTTGTTCCTAGTAACGCTGTGCTGTCTCTTTAAGACAGCATTTTGTTGAGCATTAAAGAGTACCACGGGGGAATCAGAGCTGCTCCTGACCCTGACTGTGGGAGCGCATGTGAGTCACTAACGTGTAGAGACTCAGTTTTCACACATGTGAAATGGGACTAAGGAAGTATATCAGAGAAGCTCTTACAGAGCAGTCCTGGGGATCAAATAACGTATTGCCTATGAAAGGTGTTTCTCAAGATGTGACACATAAAACAGAAACATGTTTTAAAATATAAACTAAAATGCGGGGCAAACGTTATTGTTAGGAATCATTGTTAGAGTCGCTTTTTTATCAGTATCTGCCAAAACAAAACAAAACAAACAAAAAAACAGACAGTGCTCCCTAAATGAAGTCTCCAGCTTTGTAAAAGTGTTTGGCTATCCTGATAACAGTAAAACAATAATGTTAGGTTCTGCGATAACCCTGGAGCCAAATGAAAATGGATGTGTCATAAGCAGCCTTTTCCACTTGGGAAATGCAGGAAGCTGCGGCCCATGGCCATGCTTACCTTCGGCAGAGGAAACACACGCTTCAGATCTACATGGCACATACCCTCTTAGTCACAAGAATTTCTTACTCCACCCACACAGTTTTCAAAGGAAAAAGAAAAAGAAAAAAAGCCCTCTTAGCCAGAGAATGCTGTCATCGGTGCGCATTGTGTTTTATTTTTGTGTGACCCGATGAACTCTAGATTGGACCGTGTTCTGGAGTTCCAGAGCCTGAATCTCACAATGTTTTGCTGGAACCTAAAGGTGAACGCAGAATGCAACAACCAGGTTAGAGGTGCAGTAATCCTGGAAGTGACAGGCTGTCCACCTAGTCATAGCTGTGAGGAGAAACATGCCAGTCCAGCCTCTGATGTATTGGGCAGTGCTTTATTTTCATCTCCGCTCTCTGCTCAGTTCCAAGTTACAGCTGGATTTTTTAAACCCTTCATTGCGGAAATGGCAGTTCCAAATACACACTTAAAAGGACTCTCGCCTTCCAGACAGGGTCCTTTCCTTATCTTGTCCCTGTACACAATCACTACTACCTGCAAATGCCTGTAAACAATTAATATCTGAAGAGGAAGACCTTGATGTCTTTGTTCAGTCACACAAACAGGTCGGCAATGTTGCCGTCTTTTGAAACTGCTGTCTACAGCATCTCTGAAGCACGTGTCACAGCATTTTCGCTTGTAGGAGCCTGCAGAGCAATACACACAGTCAGCCGGCCAAGTGCTGGACAAAGGGACCAGACAGCAGCATCACGCAGTCAGTACCTGCCCACCTGGAGCTAACAGGCCTGGTCTGTGTCCCTCCTCTTCCCCCCCTACTCCTAAAATGCCCTTGAAGCATGTCACAGTGATCACTCTGCCGAGTGCCCCAAGGGAGGGCAGCAGGCTCGTTCCACTTGCAGAGATGGGGGTTGCTTGAGCGGGGCTCATTGGGGAAAACCCTCACCCTGTACCCTGTTACCTCTGGGTCTGTATTCTTAGCTCAGAGACGGGAAAGCCCAGGTTCCTCAGCTCCTGGTTATACCTGATGAGATGTGAAATGAGTTTCGGCGAGAGAGGAGCACCCCTACAGGTGACTGGACACACCGCATAGGCAGGCCTGTGGCTCTCCACAAACACTTCCATGCTCAGCGTTTAAGGCATAAAATGGAGACATTTTAAAGCTCTCCGTGGAGCTAATATCATTGCTCTGTTCGAAGGCTGTGCCGTTTCTCCCGCAGTGGGGTTAGCCTTCTTCACAGTGCAGTACGAGCTTAGCATCTTTTTATTTTCTGTTCTCAAAGGTTGTAGGTATCCTGTTAAAGTCTTTTTTTTCCTTTTTCCTGACAACCTTTCTATGCCTCTTGGAATAAATAAGATATTAAAAATACGTTAGATGGTGATTTTTAAATGGGGAAAGGTCCAAAAAACATACTGTGTAGATAGAGGGAAGAAAAAAAATATATATATATATGTGTGTGTGTGTGATATTATATATATATATATATATATATATATATATATATATATATATATATACCAATTCTCATCTTCCCTTGATAATGTGTAATAAAGGAATAGGATGTTCCCTAGAAATACGGTGAGCTTTTTCACTAACATTTACTGTTTTTCATCATCTGGTCTCCTATGACCATTCAGTCAACAGCTAAAATGGTAGGAAGCCGCAGAGAGAGAGAGAGAGAGAGATAAAAATTAATTTCTCTGTCCTTTCTCCCATGTTTTTGTCACAAAGCTGATATAATCCTATACTACTAGAATTTCTAGTTTCATATCTAGGAATTCTACTGTTTCATATCTATGCTGTCTAAAATAGTACTCTCTAGCAACATGTAGTTACAAATCTATGTCACACATATAAGAAATGGAAATTTTCATTTTATTTACCTTAACATTAATGTAAATAACTACACCTGGCTAATAGCAACCACATTGAACACACAAGCCTGTTTCTGACACATTTACAACATCTAGAATTATTCTTGTCTCTGCACAGAATTAAAAATAACTTTGCAGGATTCTTTTAATTTTAATGTAGAATTTTATAATGAAAATTGCTTCATATTACAGTTTATAAGAGTTAGAAATACAGGCAGATACTTATATATAAATCAGAGGATTAATTAAAGGCAATAAAATCTTGTGCTAAAAGAATAGTACTTTCAGTTTTTATATGCTTTAAGTATTTTATATTGAAAAATTTTTAGTTAAAATTATAAATTAAGACCAAGAAGACCAAAAAATATATATTTTTTCAGAGTTTCTACTCTATTTTTTTTTTCCTGTAACTATCATTTCTAAAGCTTATGCAGACTTACCCTTGTTCTTTCTTTCTTTTTCTTCCTCCCTCTTTACTGAAGCCATAGGACAGCTCTTTTCAGGCTGGTTCTGTTTTCCTCTGAGAGCCAGGGCAGTATATGTGAATGGTTCCAGCTTTACCTCATGGAGGACCACCGCCTCCAGGGCCCGAAGTTTCCTCACTTACAACCTATTGTACAATGTTGAGTCCCAGACAGACCTGAAGTTACCAGCTATCTGTTCAGTTACAGTCTTTATTAGCCCCAAAATCTCATCTTACTGAACTTTTGTATGGAATATAAACACATTGGTGGTTGAAGTGCTAGGTAAATGCAAAAGAACAAAGATATAATCTGGAACAGTCCATGTTGTTAACTCATTCATCAGAAATCACACCTGAGCTACTTAGCTCCTGGGGCTACTGAGGGAATGAAAGCATCTCAAGACTATAAAGCACAAAACTGATGTGAGTGGGATTTTCTGAGCCTGTTCCGGCTTCCTCAGTTCTGACAGCCCTGATCACTCACCGGGTGAGTGAATGGACTCCCCTGAAGGGCTAAAGAAAGGGCTCATTCTTTCCCTTCCAGATCTAGCTTCACTTCACGCTTCCTGCCAGAGATTAGCCAACCTGTCTTAGGGCCTAATGCTCCTCAGGTAGACAAGACCCATCTGTGTCATGAATGATTCTCAGTGCTATTGCTATCCTCTGAAATCTGGCACCCAGCTAGGCTTTCATCATGTTTTCTGCAATGGGTCAGCTGAACATGTAGCCACGGATTCTCTAAAATCATTTGACTATTAATTAACTACTCTCATGTTTATAGATTATAATCTATAAGCATGAGAGCAGTCAAAATGGAATATGAAAAAATGTACATACAGTTAAGATTTTAGGGACTGGTAGTTGATTTTTCTGAAATCTAAATGACCACAAGCAAAAATACTTTGTGTTTTATATTGATTTTAGAGAGGAAGGAAGAAGAGAGAGAGAGAGAGAAACAACAGTGATGAGAGAGAATCATTGATTAGCTGCCACCTGCATGCCCTCTACTGGGGGTCGAGCTCACAACCCAAGCATGTATCCAGATCAGAATTGAACCTTGACCTTTGGTTCATAGGTCAATGCTTAACCACTGAGCTCATTTGCCTACTTAGTTTTATAAAGGTAGGGACTGCACTTAAGTATACCCCCTAGTAACCACAGAGTGTTGAGAGAAAACTTCTGTTAGAAGTAAATGTCCACTGATATAAAGTTTGCATTTTCAAAATTCATGAGAGTTTCATAGTCTCCCGGCCTTTGGTTACCTTCAAACTTGACTTGTTAACAAAACGTTGCTGAACTTTTCATCATTCGTGTCTTTTTTGTTGAATGCTCTGTCTTGTGACTTGGAATCAGTTCTTCTATTGCAAGGCTGCCTCTGTTGCAACTCTTGCTGCAAGCTGAGCATTTACCCAAGTAGAAAAGAATGCAATCCCTTCTCAAAGTATTTTTGCTTGTGGTCACTTAGATTTCAGAAAAAAATTGACTACCAGCCCCTAAAATCTTAACTGTATGCACATTTTTTCATATAATCTATAAGCATGAGAGCAGTCAAAATGGAAGCAAAAATAAGAAGTGTTTTCTTCGTATCTTAAGAAACTGCATGTGTACTGAGCATTGCCTGCTTCAGAAGTTAGGGAGAATCTTAAATGAACTCTTAATGATTCAGGTTTAGACATTGCGTTTACCCTGAAATGTGTACTTGTGTTCCTATGTCAGCCATTCATTTGAGAACTGTTACAAGGCCTGAACAACCTTTGTAAAATATATATTCCCAATAAACAAGAAGGCAACTCAGCAGATAGCTTTTCTGCCTGGTATTGTTTTATTAGTGTAATAGCTGTATGGCAATGATTCACTGAGAGGTTTATTGGCACTGAAGTTAAATATCTTCTGTGATACGGTCATTTGCAAACTGAGCGCTTTTGGCTTTGTGTGGTGTTAAGAAAGCTCCCAACTTGCGCCGACCTTCTCCATTTAGTAAAAGTCAACTTTCCCTGGCAGCACCTGCGTTCCCAGGTGGCGGAGAGGAGCAGAGAGTTCCACTTTCACCCACATTTCTCCATGGCCGAATGCTCCTCGGTGAATTTTCGCTTCAGCCTGTGTGCTTGCAGCTGTGACTCACAGTTCGGAATATAGGAAATCATTGTGTGATGGTTCCTATTAGCAAGGGTCCAGCAGTGGCTGTGATTAATTCAATGGTTCCTTCCCTTCAACGGTGACCAGATAACCCATAACCAGCCAGCTTGCTATCTCAGATAAAGGCTCTTCGTTTTTCTTTTAACTTTCCACCGTCTCTCAGATCCGCTCTGCCCTCTTTCTCCTTGCAAGGCTGTGTACCTGAACTTAAGACTATTCCAGGGCCTGAAAGCTTTGAACATCGGTCCTGTGATCAGTCAGCAAAGCAGTCCAATTTCCACTTTGTTCAAACAGTGCTTTCCTGTCTTGTCTGGGAAAGTGTCTGCCAATTCATTTTTCTCTTCTTATCAGCAAAACACATATACGCTTGTGCTCACATTGCTTAATACGAGACACAGGGAAAACCCCCTCACAGTCAGGAGGCAAATTAGGAACACTGCCCAGCTTCTGCTCTCAGCTCAAATGAGAAAGCAAATGGAATGAGAAAGCAAATCAATGGTGCTAATTTTACAGGCACCCCTCATCGCAACTTAGAAGGCTTTCATAGCTGCCTTCTTTACACAGAGAATGTTTAACGTGTGCTCATCTTCTTGTAAATCATGTTCCTCCCCTGTATCTGCCAGCCCCCAAATCTGGTTCACATTGCAGCCATTCTTGGACAACAGCTAGTTTGTATTGAGAAATTCTTGGCAAAGCTGTGCTCTCCAGCCTCTAACCCCTTCTTAGGCACTCTGACCAAATCTGTCCTGGGCAGGGCTGCTGAACACCCCAGAAGGTGGTTAATCTATTCTTCAACCATTGCTTCTTTTGCTTATTTTTTCATAGAGAATCGGCTTTTGTGTTCTATAGTTAGCCAACAGGAGAGAATGCGGGAGCAGTGGGCAAATGTCAATGTAGCTCTGCTCTTGGTACTTTATAATGTGTAAGGGATTAAAAGGGGTCCAAAGCAGGGGTCACTTTTTGGACCTCTTCTTTATTTCCTGGCTTGTTTTGTCCCCTGTGTTTGCTGGAAGTAGAATAGAGGAGAGCTGGGGAGGCAGTAAAAAGGAAGAATCCTGCACTTCCACTCCCTCCTGCATGGCGGGCATCTCCCACCACCTTCACCCAGGAGATTTCTTTAGCAGCTACCATTTTTCCAGCATGCTGCCAAGTTATACAAAGTTTTAATTTTATGGATAAGGTCATGAGTCAAATTCTGGTTCTACTAATGACTAGTTCTGTGACTTTGGGCAAGTAACTTAATCTCCCTCTTTTCTCATCTATGAACAAAGTGGGTAAAGTACTTAATAATATCTAATGGAATAAAGTCCAAATAATTTACATTCACATGGCACAGGTGTATCTGGTCTACCCGAGGAGTCACAAAAGGAAATGGTAGGCACATTGGAGAGGCACTGGGTCAGAGTGTTCCAGGAGCCTGGAGGAAAAAGCCTGGCTCCCAGGTCCGAGTCCCCAGAGGGCCTTAGCCTTCTTTAAAGTGCCCATTCTGAAATCTATAAAATGGAAATAAGGATGCCTCCTTAAGTATGAGACGTGGTTTGAAATAGTGCATCTGTGCAAATTCTTTGAAAAATGTAAAATGCCACATAATTGTATGGTACTTTGACAGACTTCAGAGTCTAAGAGAAAAATAGAACAAAATCAAACGTGAAGACTAACTGCTAACCAGAATCTAAGAGCATAAACAAGAAAAGCAATTAAACTGACCATATAGTATATATAAGAACAAGCATATAATTTTCCAAGTATTATATATGTGATGTAAAGACTAGTGTTTCACTTCAATGAAGGCATAACAGGAAAGGAGAGCTAGCTTCTATTGACACTTACTAATTAAAAATATATATATTTAAATGTATTCATTAAAAAATTGGTTATACTTTATTAATTTAAGAAATGCTATATTGCTATACAAATATTGATGTGCAAAAATTTTAGTGATTTAAATTATAAAAGGTATTACATATTAACATATATGTGAGAACATAAACATATTTTTATTTATTTACTAGAGGCCTAGTACACAATATTCATGCACAAAGGGTGAGAGTCCTCAGAAAGTGTCCGACTGACTGCTTAGGCCCCTGCACTCATCAGCTGTGCTCCCCCTGTGGGAATGCACTGACCACTAAGGGACAGCAACCTGCACTGAATGTCATAGCAATGGGTTGTTCCACCATTTGGTCAATTTGCATATTACCCTTTTATTATATAGAATAATTAGCCCTAATGATCTTCATTAGGAAAAATTGTTTTACATCAGTAAAAAAATTAGCAGTACCAGCTTTTATGTTCATGACTTTATTCATCGTGCTATCTACAGAAATAGCAATATGCTCAGTATTTTTATTTATCCATAACATATGATTTGACAGAAGAATTGTCATGACAATATTTGGGACAGCACCTGAGACAAAGCAGGCCCTTAGAAAGCTGTCAATAATTCCATGCTAGGACACCTGATATCATCTTGGTTCTGCAGGTAGGTGATTCAGGAGGCACTGTGATCAGTTGAGCCCTTCACTTTAAGGAGTTGATAATTGTAAAAATAATTACATGTGTGAGTTCTCAAAGGGTTAAGGACCAGCTGTTACAAAGAGAATAAGTGGCATCTCTTGCATTGTACTCTAAGGGCTTTCTAACAGGGAATGTGTTTGTTGTCCTAGGTATTAAAGTTTGATCCTGGCCATTTCAGGAGGAGGGGTAGATCGAAGAACATGGCTCTCATTGACATCCAGTTGGATCACCATGAGCGGTGTGACTGTATCTGCAGCTCCAGGCCACCTCGATAAGAGAATCTGCATGTGCACTAAGCATGAAAGATCCTTTTGTTTAAGGGGGTGACACAGGTGACCCCTTTCCTACCAGCAGCCGAACTTACTGCTAGCCTGCAAAGCAATGAATACAAGTGGTTGTTGAGTTTCAGCCTCGCTTTGTTAGTTGTCATGGCAAGCAGAAAGGTATATCATCAACCTCCATATGCAGAATATAGAATTGCATTTAATAATAGTGTCTGAAGATGTATCCATGTCTACATGTAAATGGCCAAATGGTTTATGCAGAGCTTACGTAAGGGTGAGTCATTTAGCTCCTTAAAATCTTTTGACAAAATAAGGAACATAGTAAATACATGAAACATGTCTTTGCAATATTTGGGAATGTTAATTTATTTTTAAATTCTGAGTCACAAAACAATTTTTCATCTTGCTCTTTTAAAGAAAGCACCTTATATATTAAAAACCAAAAGATGAGTTTTTCTTATATATACATCTTACCTATTAAAAAAAAAAAAAGGAAAATATGGTTTCTGGGGAAAAGGCACAAACCAAACCATGTTTTTTTCATGAGATAAACTACATACTTACCTATGGAGACAGTAATTACCTGTCTCCAAAAGCATGCCATGATAAGACAGGCGCTTTGGGAATTAAGTCATTAAGTCTCCTTTTGGTGCATCTTGCTGAAGCATGCAAATTTATTTAACACCAGGCTCAAAGAATTGTCTCAGAAGGTTTATTATCGTAATCCTACAAGATGCAATTTATAAGCTGTAGTGCAAATTTTAATTGTTTCTTTCCAGAAACCCTTCTGCAGAAGTAACTTCTCTGCAGAATGGCCTCGGGACTGTGCATGAGCCTTTCAGAATAATGTTCATTGAAAGATTTTGGTAGTTGGAAGTCAAAAAATTCAGCATTGAAATATTCCCCTTACTGGAAATCTGATGGAATACTTGATAGGACCCATATTTAATAATGAATTCAAACTCTTCAAACTATGCTAATTGATTTTATGTATATTGCTTTTGTATTCCTATCTCTTCCATATACAGACATGGATTTACAATGGCATTTTCTATTTGGGAAGCCGTCATGGATTGCTTACAGCCTAAAAGCTTTTGTGTATTAAAACAACCCAAAGTTATTTATATAAACCCCTAATCATGTACACACTCCCCATCTCTGAAGTCCTGTTTCTGAACCAAGTGAAATCCGAACTGGGGTCTCTAGTTCTTTTTCAAATCTACGGGGCTTATTCTGAGAAGCCACTCTGCACATTGTGGGACAAGACGTTGGCCCAGTTCCACCACTAGGAAACCGTCTCTGCATCAGTGGTTATCACTGCTATGCAGAGCAATTTTTTCTCTCTGGCTCCTTACTGTCTATTTGAAGGGAGACTGACTCCAGGAGTAGGAAGTGATTCATCATTCTCTGAAGCAAGACTCTTAAGAAAGCAACCCTGAAATCAAGATAGCTTAGGGGCACCTCAGAGAGAACTATGTTTTTCTTGCTGCCTTGAACGAAGAAAGGAGAGCCACTTTTTTCCCTGAGTCCAGGACCCTACTGACTAGACCCTATCTGAGTGAGGGGTATATGACAGGTGCTTGTGAAGTCCCCGTGTCAAATGTGTGACCACATCTATTTAGCATGTTAAGCATCATGCCCTCAGGACCAAATCCTCAGCTGTCCTTAGCTCATTTCTTCTCAGCTCTTTAAAAAGAAAGGCCAATGCTTTTTGAAAACACACCTTCAGCATGTGCCCAGGGGAATGAGTGGGAAGATGAAATGGAGATTGGTCTCTTGTCCAAAATCCTAGCATGCAATCAGCAACAGCTGAGACAGACATCCCTCTTCCCCTTTGTGACCATTTGCAAGTTTCCTATGAAACTGGCGGGTTCCTGTACCAACACCGAAATGCATTATGGCACGCTCTCTTGTTCTGCTTACATCATGTCTGTAAGTAGGAAAAATGAGAGTGTTTTACCCAATTTTCAATAAACCTTCCAGGCCTGGAGCCAGTGATAGCCCTACCTGCGCTTCTTATCTGTTCGATAAAATGTGAGCAGGCAGATCCACTCACTTTTCCTTTTTCTTTCCTCGGTGTTTTATTACAGCGTCTCCCTTGGTTATCTGTTGCCTATTGTATTTCCAATAAATCTGTTTCATTGCCATCAAAGGCATAAAACACTCACCATACAAAGTGCATTTCAAAACCCTAATAAATGCACCTGAAATAATGCCTTTCACTCAATACGTTCTTAGAGGACAAAACATTTCCAAAAGTAGGATCCTTGTTTTTGTCATATTGGTAACATGAAGCTTCCCACCCCCCCCCAACCCCCCTGCATAGCAAATAGCAAATGTAATATACCTCTTATCTTCCTGAAAAAATAAATGTTGCTTTTGAACAAAAGGGCTCCATTATTTAGTATGCACTGCGGCTTCAAAGCTGTACCACGTTGAACGCTTGCTTTTACAAATGCGTGCACCTGTGTGGAGTGGGGCGCCTGATTGCTGAAGAATCGGTTTTACAATGCTGAAGGAGCACAAACCTTGTTCCCTGACCGCAGGATTCTACTCTACCCTTGTCCTGACGCCAGGCAATGAGGTGGGACTCTGGCTTTGTTGTTCTCTTACTGCAGTTGTTGCTTCTTTGTCTGAATGTGTGTTTCCCCTGTGGCCTTTTAATGAAATGTAACCTCCTCTGACATTGCTCACTGAGGGGAGTTCACAGCTCATCTCTTCCTCCAGGACCTGAAAGCAGTCACATCACAGGCCCATTTCCCCATTGTCCACTCTCACACCTCTCCCAATCTAGATGGATGGACAGCCCAGGTGCTGGGTCAGTGGTGTCAGCTCAGGGAGACCAGTTCGGGGGCTACAGTTCTATAGACTTTGGTTTATCATTTGGGTTGGAGGCCATATACAGAGAGCAGTTCTCACTGCAAAATGTCTGCTTTGCTTGTAGCTGAGTCCACCATCTGGCTATCTGAGACAGGACAGCAGCTGCACAGCGTGGGGTGAAACTACCACTTTGTTTAGTTTGGGGGAAAGAAGTAGAAACATATGTATTATGTGGCAAGAACTAAGTTTATCATAGAAATACCCATGAACATGTGAGGGAGGGGCAGGGAAAGAATCAAATAATGCTGTCCATAGTAGTTAACTCAGATAACTTTTTATGTGTAAAAAATATACCAGCCAAATATAAACAACATTTTAGTGCAAATACAAATTTTATTTCATTTCCTAAAACATGCATGTGTCCAGTTTTACTCCAAGAATAACTCAACAGATGTTTAAACTGTTCATGTACTCCTAGGGTCCTCTAGTCAGGCACCAAATTAAAATGCATAGCCTGGTATTCATGCCTCAACTCCTAGGAAATACGATTTTGTTTATTGACAGCTCTGGCCAGATATGCTGGGAGAGAGGATATTTATAATTCACTGCTTTTATTGACATTCACTTAAATTCTGTTGTTTTGAAAGATCAAGTTAAAGACTACACAGGCCTTCAAAACTTAACATAACATCCGGGGAAATCTCCCAAATATACTTAGACAGCAACAATGGATAAGCAACTAACCACTTAATTTAAGACTTTATATTTGCTGTTTATATTATAGTCCTGAATTTGCCCGTTAATTTGTATCTTAAAAAAAAAAGATTTTCTTTCTTTAGAGCTCTCTCAAAATTCATTATCAGATCACATTAAAATGGAGTGAAGCTGAGTCCATAATCAAGGTTAATGTATATACCCAGTGAGCAAGTTATGAGCCAAGAAATATTCATTTTCTAATAAACCATTTGACTTTCTAATTATTTTAAACTGTTGGATATCGTTTGCCAGTCTTAGTGGCCAAGAACCAACTGTTAAGATAATTCTTGGATTCAATTTTACATAATGCTTATAAAGCAAATTTTCTTTCAAGAACTAAAGTCTGGGTCATATTATCTAACACATATTTTGGTTGAGGACATATTATAAATTCACTCTCTTCTAACATCTTCTAGCCTATCTTCTTCCCCCTGTTACTTCCACATTTCTCCTCTTCCTCACTAAGCCCTAGCCACCATCGATTGGATCCATGTCCACTTTAAAAAGGCACCAGTGGTCATTTAAGATCAGGAGATTAAAGGTACTTTCTCAAGTGAGCAAGTAATAGGGCCAACTATTAAGAAATCACTGCTTTTTGAGAGTTGAATACATAAGTGAATGTCTTCCAATATTTTCCATTTTAGTACAAACTTTGCAATATGGTGCTAGATATTTATTGACTTCCATTAAAGGATATTTTAACTACATTCAATATGGGGAAAAGTGATTAATTTAAATATTTCAATTAGTCATTCAACAACAGAATATATTAAAGAACACCACCAGGAACACTTTGGGGTTCAAAAGCCAAGGTCACGACAGAGGATGAAACTGGAGAAAGATGTTGTAGGTGGAATAATCAAAAAGAACAAAGATTCTCCAGCAAATCTATATATAAAGTGAATATAAGGACTTCCAATAATAGGGACGTAGAAAATTTCTGATTACAGAGAATCTCATGTGGATGGCTAGCAAAGAGTTTTGCCTTTCACATGTAGGAAAGGAAGCCATGAGGCTTTCTAAGCAAGTATAAGGAAGAGGCCTTGGGTACAGTGACAAGTCTGCCACTTGCTGTACCTACTGTTTCTTCATTTAAAAATCAGAAGGGTAAGATGTTCGATAAGTTCTTTTCAACAGAACACTTCTGCAATGTTGGGGAAATGACAGTCTACAGGAAATGATGGTGGTAGGGGTATGAATTAGGAAGCTCCTCAAAGTTCTAGGGAATGAGATAAGGACAGAAGTGAGACCTCAGGAAATGAGACAGGAAGGATATAGGCCCCAAGTGTTTGGGCAGACTGTACATTGCTTATCTAGGAGGTGCTATTTAAATGGACTGAGACTGCAAGAAAGGTTAACAGGAGGATTCAAAGGTCTCAATGATTGTATGGGAGGTCAGTGCAGGTTTGTGAGCTGTCCTGGAAGAAAGAGTCACATGAGTTGGAATTTTGAAAGAGCATATGTTCCTCAGAAAACTAAGGAGGTGGGAATAAGAGGCTACTTTTGAGAGAAGAGATCATGTATCTCAGAAGAACCAAAGCTTTAATGGTGAGTGGGAGTCATCTTTTGAGAAGATGAAAAACAAAAACTGAAGGTCATTCATAACCACAACTAAAAGGGCCAAAAGAAGAATTCACAAAGCTCACATACAATAAAACAAGCATGTTTCCTGCTCTTGTCAAATTAGAAAATGAAGGTTAGATATTAGACACATAATTTATGATATTTAAGAAAAGCAAAAGCATAACGTGGGATGACATTAAAAGGTAAACTTTAAGTCAGGGGCAGAGAGAGATTTCTTAAGAAGATGACATTGGAGTAGAAGCAGAAAGTTGAATAAATATTAGCCATGGGAAATGTGGAAGGAGAATGTGACATCAAGATGGTAGCACTAGAAAAATTTTTTTTAAATATTTTTATTGATTTCAGAGAGGAAGGGAGAGGGAGAGAGAAAAATTGAAACATCAGTGATGACAGAGAATAATTGATTGGCTGCCTCCTGCACACCCCACACTAGAGATCAAGCCAGCAACCCGAGCATGTGCCCTGACGAAATCAAATCGTGACCTCCTCGTTCCATAGGTTGATGCTCAACTACCGGGCCACAATGGTCATGCTAGAAACAAACATTTTTTTTAATGTGGCTAGATTAGAGAAATATTTTGAATGATTAATTGACCAAAGGGGTGTTGAGAGGGAGAAGGAAGAGGTCAAGGATTTTTCCAAGTCCTTTGGCAAAACAGCTTGGCCAGAAAGAGATTTCATTTATTGAGATGGGGGACATGGAACAAGGAGGAGTTTTGGAGTAAATCAATAATTCAATATGATATTAATGCCAAATGAGCTTTGGCATATCCGGTTGGAGATATTAAATAGACAGGTCTATGGGCCCTTAACTTAGAAGAGGGATCTGGAAATGAGATGCAAATTTTGGAGTCATTAACCTGTAGCTATGAAAAGTCACAGGGACAGTTGAATCACTTAGAAGAGAAGGGAGAGTGAAGGGGAAAGAGTACTGGGCAAGAGTATAAAAATATTCTGAGTATCAGAGGAACGAATTGCCCTATGGGGACTGGTCCAGTTTTATCAAGTATTGCAAAGAAAATATAGGATTTAACTGCCCCAAACACTCCTCCCCATCCACATCTCCACTCCTTTTCTGGGGAAACTATTTTATCAATAGTGGCACTGTGCACTAGAATTTTGTGATGATGAGCATGTACTATATACGCATTGTTCCAATAACTGTAGCCACAAACTACATGTGGCTATTGAGTACTTGAAATGTGACTGGTATAGCTGAATACTTGAATTTTACTTATTCAAATTAATTTATATTGAACTAGAGGCCTGGTGCACAAATCCGTGCACTGTGGGGAGGTCCTTTAGCCTGGCTTGCCCCTTCTCACAGTTTAGGAGCCATCAGGGGATGTCCTACTGGCATCATAGGCCCACTCCACACCTGAAGGAGACTGTCTGATCAGGGAAAGGCACCACTCTTATCACCCCCTTGCTGGTGCTACCTCTGGCCTCCCTCTGCAGGAGGCAATCCAACACCCCCATCATGCCTCTGCTGTTGCCACTGCCAGCTATGAGGCTGCCTGAGCCTTGGCATTTGCAGTCACTGCAGCTTGCCTGAGCCTCGCCCGGCCCACATTGCCTGAGCCTCAGGCCCTTGCTGCATTGGGGCTGACCCTGGGCAAGCATCAGCGACCATGGGCAGCTTGCCTGAATCCCAGGCTGGCCCTGGGCAAAGGGCAGCAGCCATCACATCCTCAACACTGCAAGTCCCCACTCCCCTCCCCAGTGCTGCAAGTCCCTGACCACCCAAGCCTTCTGCATATACAGCTTGCTGATCGGTTATTACTTGATGGTGTCCCAACCAATATGCCATCTATTATGATGCCTAAGTGAAGCTTATCTAACACATCGATTTTCACCATAAATCACACCACAACCTTCTTGTGTTTAGAACCCCACACAGCCCTTTAACACTACATTTGAAGGCATTATAACTGGTAAAATAACCAACAAAATGTACAAAAATGTTAAAAACAAACAAAAAACCATGGTACGAAATAGATCATGAGGACACTTTTTTATGAGAGTGTCACCTTTAATGACCTTAGCTGGGAACATGTGTGTTGGACAACTCAAACTTTTTCCTAATCTGTGCATGTTCATAAATGACCCTAAAAAACAAAAGCAAAAACTCTGCATT